TTTTATCTTATATTGAAATATGGGTTGTGTATTACGTAGATTTTCACATGAAAATCAGAATATTTTTTAATGCATTATCACTGCCGGAAAATCATATACCGAGATGACTCTCACGAAATATATGAAACACTAAGCCTATCCGCAATTTAATTGATGACAAATAATTTTCCCATTTACGTACAAAAAGGAACGTACACTAACACACATCCAAGCATGAAAAAGAAAAAAGTATTAACGTTTTTCAGAATCTCACGCCAATTGTTCTAATTGTGACAGGTCTAATAAGGTCAAACTTGTTGTAGAAGAAAGTTTTAAAACATGCAGAACACTGGGACCAAAATCTCATTCAATGGTCCATTCAAGTGAAAATTATAGCGGATGGCACCACATAAGGATGTGGTGGAGGCACACACTACAACGTTTCAAGACAAGATGTGATCTGTTATTGTTGGCTAAAAATCGTTAAAAATTATCAGTAAAAGATGATAGGGTCAGAAGTTATGGAGTGACCTATGCAAGAACAGGTAGGCGATTATACACAAATCCCGTATCTTAGAATGCAACTCCAGTTTGTAACCCTCACCTGGCCAAGCACGTCAGAAACTCGATAAAGTGCAAAGGTTTGCAACGAGACTATTCCTGGAACTAAGGGGCATGTCCTACGAGGAGGACAGGGGGAAGGGACCGCTACTGGGGTCCCTTCCCCCTGCTCATGGAGCAGGGAGAGGGAGGACCCAGTAGCGGTCAGTTGAGGCGGGGCCAGGAGCCGAGTTTCGACCCCTGCAACCACAATTAGGTGAGTACACCACCGTATGTCCTCGGATCAGGGTAAAACACCTAGCTCTGTTGGGGGGCTTGATTCTTGTAGGATTGCGTGGCCCTGTGGGGTTAGTGTCATGCGATTTTAGCTCACCATGAGGTGGGCCAAAACGAGACACACACACACACATATATATATATATATATATATATATATATATATATTATATATATATATATATATATATATATATATATATATATATATCAATGAGCAATAATGTATGCAGCACCATAAATTTATCCAGATCATTTTGGCATCATTTCAGGTACGAGAAAACCCACGTTTCAGCTTGTGATAACGTATCCATTAAACAGCCATAAAATAAAGAATGAAGTCAAAATACCGTGGCTAGAACAATATACAATTAACTTGTTAATGGTCCTAGTCGGACAGAAACGTCGTCACAAGTTTCCGTGGCCGTGTGTGTTATATGTGTACAGTCATAATATGTTATCAAGCCGCTTGAGACCAAAACTCCTTTATAAAGCTATTGTGAAGCAAATATTTGAGTTATGGAGTACGGCCTGCAGCAAGAACAAAGTTTTGTGTGCCGGAAAGTTTTTCACAATTAAGCCACTCTTGGATGACACCAACATAAAGCGAAACCCCACTAATAGTCTGGTTGATCAGGTAGTCAATCAGCAGGTCTGGAATGGTACTAAACCAACGGGGCGATGGCGAGTGAAACATCAACAGGTATAGGGATCAGTAATCCTCGTTGATAGCCTGGTCAGTCAGGCAGTGCAAAGTAGGAACTGACTTAAGGAACATAAGAAGTTCCTCCCTGAAGACATTTCAGGGTCTGCTGGTAATTACACTTGCATTTGAAGGGTCCTTTAAAATTAGTATACTTCTTGCACGCCTTATTTAGGAAGATGTACTGTGTACATTTTGCTGATCCTCTGGGAGTAATTTCAGTGTGCAGATTCAGAAGAGACCCTCTAATATTTTACAAGTCTAAATTTTGATGAGTCTCTCATTTCAATTTTAATGAACTTTATGGTTTCCCATTATATGTGTTTTAAAAGTAAATACGTTGTTTAAACTTGCAAATAGCTTTAACCTATTCTTAAGCAGCGAGGATGTGGTGTCTATGCAGGACTGCTTGCAAAAAGCGCCAACAACCTGGTTCAGCAGGCAGCCCATCATTCATCTTTCTTTGGGGTTGGATTTGGGAGAAAAAGGAACGCCTTAAAATTTTAAAATACGCGCCTCGCTGCCAATGGGTAGCATTTCAGTACTATCAATTATCATTAAAACGTAAAGAAAGTCCCACGCAGTGGGAAATTGGCAACACATGGTATCGATGAATAAAAATGATTTCATGAATCGAGGCACAGCTGACAACCAAGCAGCAGAGTGTTCGAATAATTGTAGATAAAACTAATATACGTTAATTTATTGCCAACTATCCGAGAATAATAAAAAATCATCTTTCATTTTATGTTAGGACGGGCAGAAATTCTCAAACTACAATTCCGGAAAAATTACCCACTGTGCTAATCTATACAACACATGTAAGGGGATTCAGCAACTATGCTGACACTGTAACTAAAGTGCAGGTTGAACCAGGGCATAACGAGGAGGCCTGAAGAGGTAAGAAAGGGAAGTGGAACTTCACTGTGATCAGTGAAAACTCGGTAAAAAAAAAAACATCAACAGTTTGGACAATCTGGTCCGAGCAAGGTAGGAGGGGTTGCAAGCCCAACATCGGAGAGTAGGAAGAGCCCCTTTAAACGACGCCCAGTAAGCGCCAGGTAAAAGGCACGTGGCAGCCATAACCTCACTGCACCCTTCAACACTAATTTACTTTAAACTTTGTTTCAGTTCTTTAAATATAATTCATCAAATACTAAACACACTGTGTTACAAAAAACTGTCGATAATAGATTATTATTATTATTATGTAAATGTTAAATATGCCAGTTTATATATGGCCTCCTTCACCTTTGAATGACACACCATAAGTTCTCTTCATCTTCATTGTCAAATGGTGTGAATCAAAAAGGTAAGGACTCCCAGATACGAGTTCTCAGTTCTTAAGGGATACCTATGGCATACACCAAACTGGTTTTTCAGAGTCTATTACTAACACCTGGACGTTAAGCCAGAACACTTGATCAGCCAGGCTTTGGGTGTCCGCGTGGCTACATTCACCTTCAAGAAGCAGATACAAGGAGAGGTACAAGCGGTGCCTCCTGTCTAGTGAACGTGTTTCAGACGAATCGAAACGTCGTTTAAGTTTTCCTCCACAAAATATGAGTTAATTTTTCCAGCCCCGGTATTCTCATTCTCACTCACTCACTCGTGCGTGCGTGCGTGCGAGTGCGTGCGTGTAAAAAATATGAAAGTAGCAAAACTTTCCAGTAATTAGGCATGCAAAGATCCTTAAGGGAAAATCAATATCAGTGATATATATAACTATCTGATGACACATACAACACAACTATATAATCATATGCGATAACACAATCACCTGATGATACATACGATAAAAAAAAACATGTAAGATAGCACAATCATATGATGACATGCAATAAGACAATCATATGATGACATACAATAATACAACCAAATGATGACATACCACAACTATCTGTTTACACATGATAACAATTTAATGATATATAAGATAACAGAAGAAAAACAGGAGAGAGACTGACTATTACCAAAATCTCTCCACTCAGACACAAAAGCCTACATACATTTTAAAAACGAAATATTCAAAATATATTCTCTGGAACAGCCTCCCCACTTACAAAAGGCTCTGGTCAGACACCGGAAGGGAAAAAACTATCCTTTTTCTGCCTGAAGCGGGAAAATATTACATCCAAGAAGAGTGCCGGCGAGGAACCTGTCTTATCAATTCAATCTGACCTGACAGGAAAAAAAAAAACTACTTTTCAGTCCCTTCGTGAAATGACGAGGGTGAGATCACGAACGAAGAGAAGAGGGCACCTCGAGGAACCAGGATGTAGGTGAGCAAGAAAAACATGCGAGCGAGAGAGAGAGAGAGAGAGAGAGAGAGAGAGAGAGAGAGAGAGAGAGAGAGCTGATGTAGGTAACAGCTCTTAGCTTGCCAATAAAGTTAGGAATTCTTAACCTGTAATATAGCTGTCAATAAAGCTAGGGATCCTTAACCTTGTCAAACCCTGTGTAAAAAAAAAAGAGCGCATATCAGTAAAGTAGCCACACAAGGTGGCTACAGGGACAGGTAATGTAAAGGCGATTAGCTTCAACAGGTGCTTGCCCCAGGCAGGCCGAGACTTACGAGCAAGTCTCCTAACACCTACTGCCCATCTTCACCCATAAGTAAGACATGTGCAAATACAAGAATATTCCTTAAGGATATGTTTCGGTTCGTAGAGCTTGGTCAATCCAATAGAGTGAGCGGTAAAACAGAGCTTATATAAGAGAGAGTTCTTCCATGCATTTTTTATTTACAAATTAAAAAAAAAATGCGAATAAATTCTGATAACCTACAAACTGTGAAAAGTTAATCAACACAATTTTGTGTAAACCGGGCCATCATTTTAGCGTAATTCAATCCACTGCATACGCTACCCTGCCTGGAAATTTTAAAACGTAATAAAAAGCTGAAAAAAAAAATATTCCCAAAGTCAAACATTTTCATAGTGATACATGGCGTGTACAGGATATTTTCCTCATGTTTACTTTGATATAATAAAAATAATAATAATAGTAGTAGTAAATACCATTATGTTAATATTATTATAATGCTAAATCTATTAGGTTTGTATAAATAATGATAATAGAAGGCAAGTCCATTTACTGATATAACAAATGTGATGATAAATTAGGTTTAACGGTGATTGATTCACGTTTGAGGCTATGACACCCAGATTTACAGTAATATAAATATTAACAACCAATGAATATAATGATAGTATCATAGGTAATATTAAACTAGCTAAAGTTATACAACACTTGGAGAATGGAAGTAATTAGTTTTGATCCAAAGATGAATGTATCGCCAAATCCTTGGATCAAGAGCCCTAAACTAGCATCAAAGCACCATCCCCTCCCTTGAAGAGTGTAATGCTGTAGAGTATGACAGTGCCACAAGAATAAAAATATGCCATCATATCCCGCACATTAACAAAAATATAAAATGTAGAATAATAATAAAAAAAAAAAAAAAAACACAACAACTGACCTTGACGAGACGAGGCGCTGATGCAGTGTGAGCAGAGTTGTCCTCTTGGTACCTTGATGTTCACCTCTTGTATCTTGTACACTAAGCTAACAATGCTTACAAAGAGTGCCAACTAACCGTGCCAATAAAACATACATGAAACCTAAACATTTACATATATTCACAATCTCATTGAACCACCATGGCATAACACCTTCAATAACGAGGCGACTTTATGTGATGCAACTTGTAAAGTGGAGAAGCAGCCTGGTTTGGGTAATACACCAGACATTACATGTATCCCTCCTGCAATATGTATCTTATATATTTCTCTTAGTTTTATTAATTTTTAATGATTAAGAGTATGAGAGAACGTTCTTCATGTACTTAAGAGGCAAGTGACTCCGTCTTCTAATGACGTTCATTTTTTCACTATAATCTACCTCGTACATAATTATTGAAGAAAGATTCCTATGTGTTGCATAAGTGTCTCAATTCTTCAACTTGTCGGTTTTCAAAACCACTCATCACACATAATTATTATCGCATTTACTTTGTCTGTTTTCTAAGGTGAAGTCCAGGATCTCTCTTTAATACATAGTATAACTTAACAAATCTTTGAGGACTACTGCGTTGCAGAGGTCTGTTGCAGGTGTGTTGCAGAGATCTGAGCTTTGCTCAGACTTCTGCAACACAATTGTCCTCAAAGATTTGTTAAGTTATACCATGAATTAAAGAAAGATCCTAGACTTCACCTTACGAAACGGACAAAGCAAATGAGATAATTATTATGGACAAGGTAGATTATAGTGGAAAAATGAACATTAGAAGACGAGGGAACTTACGTGCCCTTAAACCAGGCACCACGAACCATCCTAGTACTACCTGTCAGTACCTGAGTCAGCCAGTATATACTGCCCTAGTACTACCTGTCAGTACCTGAGCCAACCACAATATACCACCCCTAGTACTACCTATCAGTACCCGAGCCAGCCAGTATATACCAATCTAGTACTGTCAACGCCTGAGTCAGCTACTGTACACCACCCTAGTACTACCTGTCGGTACCTGAGGAAGCCACCATGTATCACCCTAGTACTACCTGTCAGTACCTGAGCCAGCCAGCGCGTGGTAGCTCCCCGCGAGCGTATCTCCTACACCCACGGCATCAGACACCAACGCCACCCTGGAACAAGATTAACAAAAGTTAATACAACAGATAATTCAAGGGTACTGTATTTCTATTTTTTAAATAAATCACAAACATAAAAACATCATATCTCTAAGTAACACTGCAGATGAGGCATCCTTGTTTGCTGCTTTGTGCCTGTGAGGAATTTTAGAATTTGAAATTTATAATATAATTTAATATTTACTGCAAGAATGTTTGTGCAAATACGAAAAACTAATGATAAACGAGGGCAGTGAAGGAAAATGGTTAACCTTCGTGCATACGGAGAATTGCCAACAAGCCTCTGGCTATTTTCTAGAGGAAACTTGGTGAATTCCTCTAAGTTAGTTCCTGACCAGTGGGGCTGTGGTTCATATGTTGAACCGAGTGCGGCTAGCAGTAACAACCTGGTTAATCAAACCTTGATCCAGCAGGAGGCTTGGTCTGGGACCTGGCTACGGGAGCCTTGACCCCCGGAAGAATCCTTCAGTTAGCCTTAGGAAGAGAGCTTTCTTTACAGGAAAACTTTATATCTTCTCCAAGAATATGGGTCCTCGTCATGACCACAAACGGTAGCCAGTACTCCAATATTTACTGTATACCTTTGAAGTGTGAGGGGTTTGGAGAGTTTTCTCCTACCCTGGCAGCACGACTTAAGTTCAGGCTTCCTTAACTGTCTTATCAACCAAGCTGTTGGCTGGAGAACACGTATTGTCATACCGACAGTATGTAGATAAAGACACATGCAATGTTCAAGATTTTTACTGGAGGAAACGTTTCGCAACGAGGGGCGAAAGAAGAATCCACTTGTAACGAGACTTTTCTAAATGTCTTCAACTGCTCACATATGTATCTACAGACCGTTGCTGCCAGTGGCCCGATAAATGAACTTAATTTAGTTATATACAACAGTAAAGTGTTACCCGAGTAAATCTTAAAAGATGTTGCGGTCGATCCTGGATCATTACCATACCCGTCCATCTTGGACCACTATGATCGTGATCCATCCTGGACTATTATTATCGTGGTTCGTCTTGGACTAATATCACTAATATCATAATGGTTCGTCAGGGATTATAATGATATTGGTTCAGGGCAGACCGAAATCTGTCCTAATAGAGTGAAGTCGGAGGCTGCCACAGTGAAAAAAACTATTCCGTAAGACACGGTACTCGCCCCACTTCTGTTTCCCATTCTTATATCAGACAGTGACACGACATAAATCATAGCACCGTAATATCCTTTGCTGATAACACAAAAATCTCTAAGAGTGTTTGCGTCCGTCGAAGACAGCGAATCTTCAAGTTGACGTACATCAAATCTTCTAGTTGGCTGCCTGCGTCCTCTGGGGAGAGGGGGAGGTCGCCTGCGTCCACTATGATGATTAACAAGGAAAAGCTTCAGTTGCTGTGCTACGGAAGAATGAAGGAAATAAGGACTGTAAAGTAGTCTATGACAATAAAATTATTCAACATAACGAAAGTTAGATGTGCGAGACTTAGGAGTAATGGTGTCGAAAGATCTCACATTCAAGGATCACTACAATGTTGCCATAACTACCGCATGGAAAATGATAGGGTGGATAACTAGAACTTTCAAGACAAGAGATACCGAGACAATGATGATAATCTTCAAGTCACTTCTCTTCAGGATGGAATATTGTTGTGTACTGACTGACCCTTCGAAGGCAGGCGATAGTGCTGAGCTGAAAACGTACAGAGAATTTTTGCTGCTCATATACACTCAACCATATGAACTACTGGGAGCAGTTAATGGCCTTTCAACTATTCCTTCCAACGTAGGCGAGAAAGGTACATGAATATACATCTGCAAAATTCTGGAGGGACTGGTTCCAAACCAGTATGACACTCCGTATGACAGCAGGAGACTTGGAAGATGGTGCAAAATGCCTTCACTAAAAAGTAGGGGAGCGACGAATACACAGAGAAATGGCTGAAAGTCAGAGGTCCCCCGACTCTTCAACGGCAGAATTACCAACACACCTCTGACCGTCTTCACGAGGGAACTAAGTTAATCATATCAGTGCCTGACTTGTTGGGCTGTGGTTCCTACGTTGGACTGGGTGCAGCCAGAAGTAACAGCCTGGTTAATCGGGCCTTCATCTCCCAGGATGCCTGGTCTGGGACCGCCCCGCGGGTGTGATGACACCGAGAAAGGTTGCAAGTATCAGGTGTTGTTTCAAGTGTACGTAGGTTTTCTTTATAACTGAATACATTAAAAATGTACAATTAACAAAAATTGATAGGGCTGTAAAGACCGTGGCGCTGCAATAATCCAGATGTTACGCGCATGTAATTATACATGCCTTATACATACATACGTATGTGGACTACAAGTACCTAAAAACAACAAGTACTCACTTCCACAAAACACATGAACACTGATCTCTTCCAAGAAAAAAAAAACCGTAAGTACTAACAATGTTCTTCACTCACGCGGTAAATGGCTGCTTTGTGCTTGCTATGCTTCCTGTACCAACCCTGGCCTGCAGCCCTGTCTTGCAGCACACTGTAGGTGCTGCACTGAAACTCCCACTCCTGTACCATCCTTGCGCGCATGATACTCCAACAGACACTCTGAACTGCCGCTGCTGTAAACCTCACACGTAGTCGTGCAGTGCAGCGTATAATGAGAGAGTGCAGGATGTCCTGCCATTGCTATAATTCAGCAGTGGTCGTGTTTCCTGCCTCACACACTCAAGTGTCTCACGAGAGTCATTAATATCCTCTACTCTACGTGATCCTCCTCTTATGCCTTATAAGTACTCCCCGCCTTCTAACCTCATTTTTGACTTAACTGTACCCGTGGGTACAGCTTAATTGTATACGATTTAAATGAACTATAATTGTTTTAATACAAGTGTTAAGGACTTTAGACCATTTATTTTTACTCAGTGATGCAGTATTACGATTTTTACATTCATGGGAACCAATAAACACAGTAATTCAACATATACAGTTACGTGAAAAACAATACCAAAAGCAATAACCTGTTATCAAAAAATATATATATATTGCCAGAATTACAGAGTTCCTTGTCTTGAAGAGAAAGTTTTTAAGGTCTTGAAGCAAGTTTCCGGGTGATTCTACCTGTTTTGAACTACAAGCAGCTAGCACCTAAAGCCTCGCTGATCAGACGTAACAAAGAGGTCTGGGACCGGGCCGTGGGGACGATGATACTTCGGATAAACGAAGCTAGGTATTACTGCGAGCAACCAGTGAACATGGATCGTGCAACACACACCAAGTTGCAATCATGGAAATAATCCAGATGATCCAAACTCGAATATCATTTACATCACATCACACCGTTCTCTTTAAAAAAAAAAAACTGGAACGTGTAGAAAATTACATTCAAGAAACGGCAAGACAAGTCGGTTACTAAGGTATCTAAGCTTCAATTACATTGGTAACAAAATCATCTTATTCAGGAGAATTTTATATACCGAGTGTATTGGAGACGGGGGGAGAGGTGGAGATGATGGTTGGATAGGGGTGAGGAAGGATGGGGTGAGGGAGGGTAATGTTGGGGTGAGTGGAAGGTAGAGGTAAGGGGAGGCACAGGTGAGGGCGTGGTGCAGCGTTAAGTTGGCGTGTGAAAGGGAAGGGGTGGGGGAGAGATCGAGGTGGGAGACAGCTGCACTGCAGACCACGGAAACTTCTACATAAACATGCATGCATGCATGTGCGCGCACACACACACACACACACACACACACACACACACACACACACACGGGGCCAGGAGCTGAGTTTCGACCCCTGCAACCACAATTAGGTGAGTACACACACACACACACACACAAGCCCCCCTCACACCCCCCCACAACCACACACAAGCCCCCCCTCACACCCCCCCACAACCACACACAAGCCCCCCCCACACCCCACACCCCCCCCACACACACACACAGCTTACCCGAGACTCGTTTCGAGGGGTTTTCTAACCCCCTTCCCTTCCCTGCAGTTCGGCCTGATTCCAAGCTTCGCTGTTGACCGCCTGGTCAACCACGCTGTTTGTGGCGACTCTTCCGGCTCTTGCAGCAGGAAAGTGTCCATTTTTTTTAAAACTTCTATCGTCGTTCCTAAGATATTTCTGATGTCTGGTGGTAATATGGTAAGTCTTGGGACACGGATTTTGACAGTCTAGTTGAGCAGGCTAACCACAAGGAGGTTTGAACTGGGACCGGGCCGCGGGGGAGTTGACCCCCTGAAACAGTTTTCTGGTAAATAGTGGTTTCGAATTGTATCTATGGCTCTCCTGCTGTTCACTGGCTATAATTCACACTTTCTCCCACATGTTTTACCTTTCTGTTATAACAGTGTGCAGGTTGGGCACCAGGCCCTCAAGTATCTTCGTGATATATTAGCATTTATTCCCCTTTCCTCCATTCCAAAGACAACAATCCATGTGCTTTGAGGCGTTCCTAATAGTTTGGAAGTTTTACTGAATCTAGGCGGGTAGTATATGAACTCGACATTTTCCAGTTAGTTTAGTGGTGCCACTTGAGCGGCTAGTTTATTGTGCACACCGTGCTCATCCTGTGAGCGGTAGCCCAAAAAACAGGATTACAGAGGTCACAATGGGTCTTTGTCAGACCCCACTGAGCATTATTACATCACTAGAAAGATATATTAGTCATTTTTTTTATTTTACACTTATTTCATATAGTTGTTGTTATTGTACACGGTACAGTAAGGAATGTAATCTCAAAAAAATGGTATCTTGTTGCCACTTGAAAAATTTGATCATAACTGGGTTGCAATCTTTATAAAAACAGTTCATTCAGTTGATGCAGAATGTGGATACAACCTCAAGATTTCATATATTTTATCATAAACAATGAGATCTTTTGCCATATCCTGTGTAAGGTTTGCATGGAAGTGTCTGAAAATTGCATGTTTGGACACACTATGATACAATGTTCCAGTATATGACCCTGACTCTGTCCACACACTTTGCAAAGATAGTGATATCCTAGCCTTAGTCTAGCA